GCACAATAGATCGGGTGGGGCAGAAGGGGGGGCCGTATGCTCCTGATTGGCGAACGCATCGTACTGCCATGCGTTGCTGGAGCTCGAGGCCTAGAATCTCTGCAGGAAACTCGAGTCGTAGAGCTGCGATTCCGATGCGATACCAACCGGCACTATCACAAAACTGCGCAATATCACACAAACCGTGTCCGTGCGCAACTCCGAGGCGTCCTGCAAGTTCCTCGTCAACAGCACGAAGGAATACTTCTCGCACGGCGGAGTTGCCGCGCACAGCGGCATCCCAGTGTGCCTCGCACTCGTCCGTCCAAGTCTTGACATAGCCCTCTCGGGCCTGCGACCACATTCTGCCGAAATGCGATAAAAGACCGATGACTCGGTCTCCGCTGATTTTTTGTGGCAATAAGGTGCCAATGGTGATCAGCACTTGATGCGGCCACACCTGATGATATTCGCAAAGAGATAGCAGTGCTGCCAATTCGGCCAGAGCAATGTCTGGCAGACGGTCCACATCTAGAGAACACAGCCGATCAACGCCCATCGCCGAAGAGGGTTTCATTCTTCGGAGCGCAGATCTGAGGTCGGCAACCTCGATGGGCGGCAGTGCCTCATCTTGGACGCGGCGCCTGATGTCGCCGGAGAGGTCTAGCAACTGCTCATGGTCCTGCCCCTGTGGCGCCCACAACGCCTGCCATTGCTGGGTTTTAAAATCGAGCACATCACGTGGATGGATCAGCGTACGAGTACCCACTTCGACAGTGTCGGAGGCCAAAGGCGTGGACCGAATAGCCTTGTGCAGGGCGCCAACCGCGGGTGCGGTCTCTGCCCAGCTTCGGAATGATGACATATATTGATGAATCGCTCTCTGCTGACTGCGTCTGGCTAACTTTTCTGCAAGATCACAACCAGCTGCCAACCTTTCCTCAGGAGGGGACCCTGATACGACCCCGTGCAGGAACAACTTCCACTGCGACCAGGTGCAAGGATCACGCCTCCGAAGGACTCGATGCACCTCCTCTGGTGTACTGCCTCGAAGCGCGTCGATGGCCTGCACGAGTAGCTGCTGCTGCTTGCCTCCGTTGTCTCGTCGACGATGCTGGAGGAGTGCTGCAAGTGCGGTGGCCAATCTCGTCCACCACCCACTGACCTTGTCACGGAGGGGGCTCTAACCTCTGTGAAGTAGACTGCTGCACGGTGCCGATGCGGAAATTCGCCGCCTGCCCGCGCGACAAGATGGGGACGGACTGTTGGTGGTGGGCGTAAATGGCCTCCTCCACCGTGCGGACCCAGCTGCAATAAAGAGAACTGATGTGTGGTGCTGCTGGATCCTGGGATCCAAGCCAAAAAGCTACGGAGGCAACAGCATCAGCAAGCAAGCAAGCAGCACTCGGGGTGAACCCGACGTTTTTCCTGGCCTGCACCCACGTTTCGCTATTAACTTGAAACTCAGCCTCAACTTCTACAGGAGACCCTGAGCTCACCGACTGAGACAACACCTCCGAATTGTGAGACCTGTGGACCTCACCTTCAACTGGGCTGGGTGTTAAACTCGGGGGGCGCTCGGTCTCCTTGGGCTGTGTGTGTGGTGCATTCGACTGGACCTGGTTCGACTGGTAGCAACACACGGGGCCGCGGGCGGCGCAACTGATGTGAAGTTGCTCTCGTCAGCCCACGGGTCGAACTCGGAGCTGCTGTCCCAGTCGGTGAGGTGGTGGCCACAGGAAACCTCCGAGGCCTTGTCGGTCTCGTCGTCTGTACCCTCCTGGCTCTCATCACCTGCCTGCCGACGGGACTCTAAACTGTCTCCAAACCACTCTCGAATTTTCTGATTGCGCTTCTCACGTGCATTCTGCCTAGCAAGCTCCTTCTTGATTTCATTAGCACTAGACTTGGAGCCAGCAGCGGCCGTCTTCTCGGGCCGACTGGTTCGAGGGAGCCTCGGAGGGAGCTCGAGAAACCTCGTGAAAATTTGACTACCTGAAGACACTAACTCGATGCACAGACCTATATGTGGCTTCCACGGGACGGTGCAGACTGCCGTGACGGATCTGATGTATGCCCTGGCCGCAGGACATACCACAAGGTAGTCGAGGTGGGACGGTTTCTTGTCACCTCCTGGCGTGCACGTGAACTCAGCATTACTGCGCAGGATCTGTCCTCCCGTGCGCTCCAAAAAACCAGTTTTTGCGAGGGCGCTGGGGGTGAAATTCCAATCGACAGCAACGATCCAGGGAAGCTGGAGAGAGGCTAAAAGACTAGGAGGAGGAGGAGGAGGAGGAGGAGGAGGAGGAGGAGGAGGAGGAGGAGGAGAAGGCGGAGCAGGAGGAGGGTGAGCATGGAAGAGGGACAGGAGCCAGGAGGAGCAAGAGCTGGGGGGAGTGCCCGCGTGCGCTCGCGGCGAGCGGGCGGCCACGGGCGCGCGCTCCTCGGGGCAGAAGTTTGCGGGGTCCCAGAAGCCCAGCGGCTCGGTGACCCCCACCTCTCCGCGGAGGGCTCCAGGCAGCCGGCGGCCCTTTCGCTCTCTCGCAGGCCTGCCGCCTCAGCCACCCGGGCCTCGCGCGGGCCCCTCTCCAGGAGAAAGCTGTGAGGGACTACGGGTACGATTTTCGGATGCTTGGGAAGGCGAGGGCAGTATCACTGACACGCCGTCGTGGGGAACCCGTCGGCGTGGCTCTGTTGAAGAGCCACCAGGTCCACGGACGAAAACGAAGTAGCGCGCTGACGGGCTCCCGACGGTGGCGCGTCGTCGATACCCCTCTCCCCTCCCGAAGGGCACGGTGGCCACGCGGCCCCTCCCCGAATGGCACGGCTCAGCACCTCGCTCCTCCCCTCCTCGAGTGGTACGGTGGTCCGCGTGGCCCCTCCCATGCGCGTGTCCCCTGCTCTCCCCTCCCGAATGGCACGGCTCAGCACCACCGGCGCGTGCACGTCCGCGTGGGCGACGTCCAGCGCAGACGCATGTAGCCGGGGAGTGCGGGCCGCCCGCTCACTTTCCCCACCGACGCGGCCCGCAACCGCCGCGGCTCTGGCAGAGGTCGGCGCGGTGCATGCTTCTTCTTGGAGGCCTGGAAATGGGCACCAGTACCAAGACAGGGGGCTGCCTCCACAGGGGGGAGATGATCCTAGATTTAGGTGTTGGTGGTAATATTTCGGTCACCTAGGAAGCCAGAAAACTACCACCATCACCGAAATCGGGATCTTCTTCCCTCGGTGGAGGAACACCGTCGATATTGGTGTTGGTGTCAACCTCTAGGCCTGCGATCTTCGCCGATCTGGGGCCTCCGGAAGCCAGCGTCGGGCCCCGAGGACCGCTTTTTGGCACGCCCGAAGCGGGACGGAGAAAAGGAGCGCGAGGCCCAACAGCGTGTGTGGTCCAAAGCCATACGGCGGCCGCTGTTTGACCGGCAGCCTCTTGTGTCGCAAGGGGCAGTGCCAGGCGGCGACACCGACGGCCTATTCGAAGTGATCGCGAGCTGCTGTTGGTCTTCGCCCCCGTTCCTGCCGTGCCAATGTCGGTCGTGCCGAGACATGAGAAGCAGCCCTGGATGCAAAGCCAGCATCGGGGGGTGGTCGGAGAGGTCTGGAGGGGCCCCGCGTCTCGAACAAGATCGAGCCACAGGACGTATAGGGGGGAGCAAAAGGGCGTCCAGAACTCGAGCATCGCGAGAACGCACGAGGGCGTCCTGCTCGCTGTTTCGGCGTCCGGGGGCTGCTTCGGGGCTCGAGGGCCATCAAAAAGCGGCCCGCAACGGAAAACGGTCTGGGAGACCTTGTCGAGATCGCTGGGCTCGGCCTGCTTGTGCAGAGGGTTGGCGAACGCCAAAGGAACGTTAGTCGTAAGGGGCCAGGGCGGGAGGGGGCTCCAAGAGCTCCCTCATGCCGCCCCAAAGGCGCACACCTGACGACAAAGAACCGACCCCGAGGTCAACTTTCTGGGCCGAATGCTCCTTCCACTGGGCTGCGAACTGCCCGTGCTGCTGTGCGTTGCGTTCGGGCGACCCTAGTGATAGGCGAGCGCGTCCCACTACTCGCAAAGTAGCTACTCGCAAATGTTCTGGACCTGCCGCGGGGGATCTATGATCAATTACACACAAGCAGACATGTGCTTTTCGGGCGTTTGCGAGTAGACATATTGCGAATAGTGGAACGCGCTCGGTGAAGTGAGGCCAAACCGACGACACGACCGCCCACAGGGAAGACCCGTGCGACCCGGGGGCCCGTCCCGACGAGCTCTCCCCCGGCTGACGGTCCCAGTGCCCCTCCAGCCAGAGCGCTGAGCACGGACCACTCTCGCGCATGTGACGTGCACCGCCTGCGGTGCGGAGGAGGAGGAGGAGGAGGAGGAGGAGGAGGAGGAGGAGGAGGAGGAGGAGGAGGAGGAGGAAGAAGAGGAGGAGGAGGAGGAGGAGGAGGAGGAGGAGGAGGAGGAAGAGGAGGAGGAGGAGGAGGAGGAGGAGGAGGGGGTTCGGCACTGGTGCGCTTGAAGTCTGGTCAGGTGGCGCGGCCCGCTCGTTGCTCGCCCTGCTCCTGCTGTTGCTGCTGCTATCGCTACTGCTGCTGCTGCTGCTGCTATTGCTGCTGCTGCTGCTGCTGCTGCTCTTGGCCCCTCAAGTCTGTTCCTGCTGTTGCTGTTGCTGTTGCTGCTGCTGCTGCCGCCGTTCTCTCCACTGCTCGTCTTCTCGCTGCGGCCTCTACGCACGCCCTCCTGCTCCTTCTCCTCCGCAGAGTGTCAAGAACATCGCGTAATCACTCCTGCTGCCCCTCGCAAGGTCCTGCTAAGACGAAACCAAGATCGGAACAACATCGAATCGGAAGAAACCGGAGATCTCTGAGATCCAGTGCGTCTGAGAGACATGTCGGGCGCCGCGGCCTTTTCGAGAGCGTTCCGGGTCTTGGTCCCGCTCGAAGGAGGCGACTCCATTTTTTCCTGCGCAGACCAGGTGCGCATGGAATCCTTGTGCGGACGCTCTGGTGGTAACCGCGGCTGCCGAGGCCAGGAAGGCTCACCCCTGCACCGTGCCGCGCGAAGCATGAGCCTGGAGAGGGGGTGGTGGGGAGATACAGGGCATGGGAATGGGGATGGGGGAGGGGAAGAGAAGGGGCCTGAACTGGGAGAGGGAGGGAGGGCTGCAATAGAGCGATTAGGAAACTGCGAATGAGGAAACAGGGACACGGGAGAGGGAAGACTGCAGGAGAGGAAGAGGAAGGACATCATCAGAGGGAGGGAGGGCTGAGGAGAAGGGGCCTGACATGGGGGAGGGATGGGGGAGGGCCGCTGGGGGGCCTCTGATCTTGGGGCCGCGTGGCGCCCAGGGCGCCAGAGGTGCTGGAGCGCGGCGTGGGGCTCTCTTGTTGGCTCCTCTTGGGGCCCTCGTGGGGTCTCTGGGGTCGTCCTACCGTCGGGGCGTTGACCTAAGGAACCCTGAATAAGGAACGAGGCCCCCTGTTTCCTAGAAGTTCAGCTTCGATTTCCCATGGAAGACCTCAGGAAGACCTGGGGCAAACTGTAAAACAATCGAGGAACAACGAGCCGCTCCCCAACGAAAAGGGTTCCTTCCTCGGCGCCCCAGCTGTAGGCCCCTCCAAGGCCCCGTCTTGAGGCTCTCGTCGGGCTCTTTTGAAAAACACCTCTGGGGGCCTCAAGAGACCTTCGGTCGCAGAAGAGCGAGAGGGGGCAATGAATTGAATGCCCCATCAAGATGTGGAACCGCTTTTGACAGATCGGGGGGCGTCTGGGGACGTCTTGGGGGCCATCGTGAGCCGACAGGCTGTCTTGGCGTATCCTGCCAGGTCTTGTGCTGGTCCTACGGCCAGGCTGCGACTATAAGGAACGCCAGAGAAGGAACATAACCACTTTTCGCACCCAGAAGCGTCTGGGTGCGCCAGGAACGCTGGAGGACCAACCATGGAAACACCTAAGGAACAAAACCCCCCCTTCCGAAGTCGCACTCTTCCCTATTTCTGTGTCTTAACTGTATGGTGTCTTATCTTGCCTTGCCTGGTCGTCTTGGGCCGTCTCGGCCCCGTCTTGGGGGCCATGAAAAGCCGACAGGCGGTCTTGGCATCTCTTCCCAAGTCTTACCTGGTCCTATGTTTTCTTGTCCTGCCTTGTGTGGTCGTCTTGGGCCGGATCGGCGGCGCCTGTGGCCGTCTTTAGGGGCCTCCTAGATGGGGTCTGAGTAGATGGGGTCGGAGGATCTCGCCACATCGCCGATACATCGCCGATGCATCGGCGATGCATCGCAGATGCAGCGGCGATGCACTGGCGACGTCGGCGATGCACCCGTGACGTCGGCGTGGACAAAAGTTGGACCCACACCGCACCGCACCGCCGATGCAGTGCCGATGCATCGGCGATGCGGCGCGATCCCCCGACCCCATCTGTAGGGAGCCCACAAAAGACGTACGCGCCCAACTACGTACATGAACACGGCCCCTTGACCCGCGAGACTGGCCGCGTGATACGAGTATTCGCGCAATGCGAAATCTCGAAAACAGCGTGGATTCATGTATGTGTACGTCCTTCTGTCGCTCCTGAGTCTGGGAGGCCTAGAGAATCGGGGAGGCCGTGGCGCGCCCGCCCCGTCGCCCCCCAAAGGGTTGGACGCGGGGGCCGCCGGCCATGGTCGGACGGAGGTCCTCCCCCGGAGGCTGGACGGGGCGGGGGGGGCGACCCACAGCAGCGTCCAAGATGGGTCAAGCTGGCCTCCTCCTCCTCCTCCTCCTCCTCCTCCGCCTCCTCCGCCTCCTCCGCCTCCTCCTCCTCCTCCTCCTCCTCCTCCCCCTCCCCCCATCCAGGAGGGTCCAAGAGGGGCGGGAGTGCGCAGGGTGAGGGAGGAGGGAGGATGGATGACGATGGCCAGCCGTAGCTTAAAAGGTGGTTCGTCCCGCAGCAGCCTACTTGAATGTAGCTTGCCGGGCTGCTGCAGGGATGCCATCAGGCTGCCCAGTGCGCAGAGGCTTGCCAGGCTCTTGCACGGTCTTGGCTTTGTTGATGCGCATGGAACGCCAGGACACAGAACGTCAAAGCTCCTGCGCGGCTCTCATCGCGCAGTGGGCGGCCTTGTATTCCTTCGGGGCTGCGAGGCCCAGCATGTGGATGGGAGAGGAGGAGAAGTCAATGGGGCGACGAAGGACGGGACAGGAGAGGTAATGAGCGATCGCGTCGGGCACATCGGCGCATCCGAAGAGGCAGGATGCTGTGCCACAGACGTGCGCGCGGTGAGAAGTCGTCTGCCCTCCTGCGAGGGTTTTGAACACTGACCCTTGGCAGGAAGGACGCTGTGTCCGCAAAACCGAGAGACACTCCGCCCACCGTTCCCCGACCGACACCGTTATCAACTGCAGCAAACCCCATGCGCGCAGCCACTTGCTAATGGTGAGCTGGAACTCAGGAGGGAAGAGGGAGCGACGCAAGGAGACGGAGAAACCACGCTGCACCTTAGCCTCGCGACCAGCTGCACGGGCGATGCTGAGCGCATCGCGCGCAGCAGACGCGGCATTCATCTGTTGCGCGTCGGTGACGCTCGGGTCGGGGGCATGCACCTGGAGGGCTTGAAATCGTTGCAGAATGCCCTGCGGAGTCTTCCATCCCGGCGCGCTCAATTTCTGCTGGATCCATGCAGCGCGCGGGAGGTCTCTCACCGCCTGCTCCGACCAGGAGCGAAGATCTTCTTCCCATCCCGTCAGGGTGTGAGGCGCACAGCTCCATGGACTCGACGTGCTGAGAATATGCGCAGAAGCTGGTGAGATGAGCGCGTGGTCCTTACATGCTAAGAGATTCGCCTTCCGAACGGTGCTCGGAGGACGGCGCAGAACTTTGTGTAATGCGAGTTTGTCCCTCAGCAGCACCCGCCGCGGGATTGGGTGGAGCTGCGCCAGATAGCTCGACGCAGGCAGGGCAGTGCTGATATATAACATGAGGCTCACGCTTGTCGGGCTGCCTGCTGCGGGAATTTCGCACGTGCGAGTCCACCACTTGCGAGCAGCATCGGCCCAAATGGCGGCCTTAGTCGCCCCCGGCCCGAATTGGACGCCGAGATATTTCGTGTGCGATGCGATAGAAATGTCCGCCCACGTCGGAAAGTGACGTTCGAGGAAGCGCCGAATACGTGCAACTACGGAGGCGTCTAAGCCTGCTCACAGCGGCACGAGGACTGTTTGATATAACCTTCTGCCCCTGCATCTGTAGCCGCGCGCGGGTAGCCTGGGGGCAACGGAGCACCGTGCCTGTGAACCAGTCAGGGTAGACGGAGGTCAATCCCCTCGCCGCCTCAGCATCAATGGTCCCGGCAAGACAGATGATGTGCTGACCAGTAACGCCCGCAATGAGCATGACCTGCGCGTGGTTTTCAGCACCCCGCCCGTCCTTAAGCCGTCGGACTCGCGACGGCCCCTCGGCGGTGCAGGCGTCGTCCCATCGGATGAGCAGCCGGACTGCCCACGGGTGGATAAACTTGGCTGGATGCTCATGTCAATTAACGTGCTGGACTGGGGCCTTGGAGTCTCTGGAATCCACTGGTGCGGGTTGGGCTTCACATGAACAGATGGCGATGGGGGGCCTGGTGCTCTGAGTTCCGCCTTGTGTTCGAAGCGGTTGACTGCCGTGGTGTAGCAGTTTGCCGCGTGCGCAGGGTGTGCGCTGGCGTAGTTGCGGTCCGTCTACCCCTGCTGTCGTGTGCGGTTGATGTTCTCGGCGCGAGTAACTTGGAAGAACAGGCCGTGGGCGTGGGCGTGTTCAGATGGCTCTGCTAGATTCCATGTGGCCCATGGGAATTGGAAAGCTCCAGAGGTGACAGCGTCTTCCCTGATCCACATTGTCCCTCTGATCCTTTGTTGCGTGACCGCTTCGTAGAGTTCGACGATGTGGGCCGTGGGGTCTATCCCTTCTGCTGCTTCGGGCTGGTTGTGTAGAAACGACTAGCGGACCTGTGGGTCCCTGGCCCGGCGTCGCTCTACGACTGTGTCGAGGAGGTGAGCTGGGGCCTGTGGGGCTCGGTGGTCCCTGGCTGGAGCCTTGTTCGCCCTGTCTGACAGCTGGTGGAGTGGTGGTGCTGGTGGCAGAGCCACTGAATTCGTACTTTACTGCGTGCTGCCGTTGTGGCGGGTCGTCCCTGGAAGCGCTTGTTGTCGCTGCGTGGACACGCCCTCGTCTGCGGTGCTACGCGTCCGCCTGTGACGCTGCGGCTCCGCGTCTGGCTGCTCTGTGCACGACCTCTTGCCGCGCCGCTGCCGCCCTCCATGTGGGCCGCAGCAGCGCCCAGATGTTGTTGGCGGTGGCTGTGAAGAGGTTCACGTCCGCTGAGTGGTGTGCGACGATGGGTGTGGCGAGTTCCGAGGGCGCTGCACTAGTTCGGTTGAAAAAGCTTACCCAAGGACCTCTGCCGCAGAACCAACGTACCCAAGCTCCGAGTGTTCCGTGGCCCAAACACCATTCCCCCGTTCAGAAGTTGGACGTATACGCGATCCCGTGTCCGACGCACACTGCCGCGCAGAAACGCATTGCCTTCGAGTGCTGGCTGGTGTAGGCGCGTACCCTGGTCCAAATCATGATGATCCAGGCCTTGACAGTGGAGAGCAGATGAAGGGTAGCGTTACCAACTGTGTGGGTTGCCACCTGTGCCGTCGACTTTGGCTTGGTGGGTCTTTGCCCGCGGGGTTGGTTTGTCTGCGTTGGTCGCTTTGACCGAGCAGCTCATGTGGGCAGGGTTGATTCGACGCCATGGTGGATCACCGTAGCACGAGGCCGTCGCGAGTGTGACGCAGGCTGCGCGGAGACTTAACCAAACCGCAGCGCGGCTGTGGGTGGCGCGGGCTGCTGATGTTGCCCACGGCGTCTGCCCGTCGGCCGCACCGACTTCGTCCGCGTGGCCTGGTGGCCAGTGGACCGCGTCGTGGGCCTGCTGGCCCTTGACTGTGTCGTTGGCTGGCGCTATCTCCCTGGCCGAGTAGAGGAAGCAGATGGGGCCTCTGCACATACCTGCTTTGGTGAAGATGCCAGAGGAGGCCACGGGGGAATGGGGGGGAGGAGGGGAACGGAGATAACGGAGGTGGAGATGAGGGCGGGGCGGGCTGAAGGGAGAAGGGAGAGAGGGAGGGGAGAGGCAGGGCTGGGAGCCTTACCACATCTTGCGCTGCCCCGCCTCGTCCATCCTCGCCTCGCCCCGCACTGCCCCGACTCGCCGACGCGCTGCTGGGGTCCGTTCTCCACCCGCCAAGCCTCCTCCGCCTCGCGCTGGCAGCCCTGCTGCAGGCCGCCCTGCGCCCGCCCCGAAGACTGCGCCACGGCGGGCACCGGGGCCGCCGCTGGCCGCGCCGGCTGCGCCGCGGGCGGTGGAGCCCTGACAACCGATCCCGCGATGGCTTCCGCGGCCATGGCCCTGGCCACGTCCGTGGCCACGGCCTTGGCTGCCCGCAGCGGCGCTGCCTCTTCTGCGGGCCCTCGTGCTGGAGCCGGTGCTGCCAAGGCCAGGGCAGTCGGCTCCGCCCGCGCTGGCACGGCTGTGGCTGCGTCTGCACCGCCTGGCGCTGTCGCTTCTTCGCCAGCCTTGGGTGGCTGAGCGTCCACGAAGGGCCCCAACGGGGGGATCACTGCCATAGGTGGTCAGGGTATGGCAGATTAGAGCTGCTTCATCCATCCCATTTTTTCCCAAGGCCCCTGCATGTGAGTCTGACCCCGCGGTTGGGCAGGGGAGACGAACTGCTTCCTATGCTCTACCACCCTAAGACACCATGGGCAGCCACCAGAGCTGGACTTGGCATCATGGATGGAGAAAACGGGTCCTGAAGGAAACGGGTCCTGGATCCCAATGGGCCTCCCCCAGGACCAAATTGTTACCGAGTCGTCTTTTGACAGTCCCGGGGCCCGTGGAGAGCCCCGAGAGCCTGAAAATAGCGAAAAACCTCAAGATACGTTTCCCTCAGGACCCGTGTACTTTATTTGGAGGCGGCTGGGTGGGTCTGAGCTGGTTGGGTCCCTAGAAAATCGGTCAGGAGGGGGGGATGAAGCCGAATCCGCTCAAAATCGGTCCATGGACCCCTCCTGGGGTCCAGCAATTTTTCGCACCGAATCAACTTTTCACAATCCTGGGGCCCGAAAACTATCCTGGAGGCTGAAAAGGAAAAAAAACATTCCAGAACCCAGTGCCTCGAACTTCTTCCCCCCCCTTCCTGCTCGCTGGAACCAGTGCCAGGCCTTCTAGAGGACCCTGGAAACGACAAGGCCGTGTTTTTTACTGGTTCCGTTTTGCCGTTTTTATGCCGGTTCTGGCTCCGGTTCCAATCCAAGAGCAATTTTTTTGCCTTGTCTGGTCGCCGCTTTTTTGCCGTTTCCATTTTTAAGCAACTTTTTACGGCCCTGCCGTTTACGGGGCCCCCTGAGTGCCAGGCCACCTCAGACCCCCAGCTGGCTCCAATCCTTCATGGCGACTGGACTTTCAATCGGCCGACAGCCGGCAGCGGCACCAGCTCCTGTGGGGAAGCAAACTCTGTATACACCGACGCTTTATCTGGCCCTGCGCTGAAACTTGCACAGGAAAGCGGATCCTATACATTTTTCGCTGCTTACCTGGAGAACGGAACAACAAGTGTACACCACGCAACCACGACGTCGTCCCCGACCCTCATAAAATCCGGGGGTTCAAAAAACAGCCCGCCACTGGTAATGCACACGTCGTTCATTTCAAATCGTGCTCATTTCTAATTGTGCTCGTTTCTAATTGTTCCTGGCCCCCTAGTGGCCAGGAAGAGGCCCAGGACAGAACAATTAGAAATGAAAAGGATCTTGGCCCCCAAAGCATCAGGGAATTTTCGAAGAATTAGAAATGAACAATGTGTATGTGCTCCAGTTTCCGATCCTGGGTCGGCGTCGTCAGCGGCCCCGCTGCGGCGTCCAGCCACTCGCGCAGCTGCGCCCCCTCCTCCTGCAGCAGCGCGACCTCGGCCCGCAGCCGGGCACACCTCCGCGCCACCTGCGGGGCCCCGAGCGAGAAGGGGGCCCGCAAAAGAGAAGCACGAACAGACGCAATCGTTTTGTTCTGCGTTTCGTGTATTGTGTGTGTGTGTGTATTGTGTATTGTGTGTGTGTGTGTACGCGTCGTTCATTTCTAATCCTGTTCATTTCTGCTTGTGCTCGTTTCTAATTGTTCCTGGCCCCCTGGTGGCCAGGAAGAGGCCCAGGATGGCAGAACTAGAAATGAGAAGATCCTGGCCCCCCCAAAATCAAAGAACTTTCGAATACTTAGAAATGAACAGAGTGTATGTGTGTGTGTGTGTGTGTCTCTCCCCCTTCGGCTGCCCCGAATCTCTTCTTCGACCCTGCGTTGCCTGTCCTGTCCTCCTGCCTTGTCGCTCGCTGTTCTCGGTCATGCCTGTGCCGCCACTGCGCCCCGCCTTGCTCCTCCGGTGCTGTCGGCACTGGCCTTTTGGCACCGTCCCGTTTCTTCGTCTCGCTCGGGGTGGGCGACAGGACAGGGTAGCAAAGGATATGGTATATGGTACTGAGAATCAGCTCACGTAGCTGGTTTCCCTGGCGCCTTCTGGCGCTGGGAGGCGCCCATGTATCGAGGAATGGGTCTGGCGGCGGGGCCGAAACCGGCCGCATGCAGCAAATTTCGAACCCCCCATTCCCTTCCCCCCCGCTTCGTCCGGCCCGACTCCCTCCTCGCAGCTCATGCCCGGGTGTGCGCATGGCACGGTTGATCCCCGGCAGTGGATCCCGGCCCCCGACTCCTGACTGAGGTGGACCGGCCGCGCGCGCTTGCTCCGCCCTCCTGCTTTCTACGCCTCGACGCTGCGCGCGAGGCCGTGTGACGCCCCAAGAGGTGTGTATGTTTTTGCGATCTGAGGGTTTCCCTCTCCTCCTCCTCCTCCTCCTCCTCCTCTTCCTTCTCCTCCCCCTCCTCCTCCCCCTCCTCCTCCTCCTCCTCCTCCTCCTCCTCCTGCTCCTCCTCCTCCTCCTCCTCCTCCTCCTCCTCCTCCTCCTCCTCCTCCTCCTCCCTCTCCCTCGCCCTCCTCCCGGCCTCCTGCCCCTCCCCCTGGCCCCACCCCTCCCGGCGCCGCCTTCCGCCTCCTGCGCTCCTCCTCCGCCTCCCGCGCCTCGCCCCCCTCACCCGACGAAGGGGGGGTCCTCTACACGCAGGCGCGACCCTAATTAGGCAAGCGTGGCCTCCGGTGCGCGCCCCGCCCCGCCCCTCGCGGCGTGCGATGCGGCAGCAGCGGCCTGCGTGCCGGCGCCTGGCCGCGCCCCCCGACAGCCGCGCACCAGAGGCCACCACTCTGGCGAAGCATCGCTCTCGCCTGGACAGCCGCCGATGCCGTGCTTCCACTCCGCGGCCCCGCCCCGACCCCTTCCTCGGGGGTCGGCCGTGCGCCCCGGCCACATCTTTGAGGGTCACCAGGCCCGAGATCCCGGGCCCCGGAGGCCGAGCTCCAGGAAGAGCTGCCAGATCGAGAGGAAGCAGCACAGCCTCGGATCCCTGGGCGGAGGGAGCCGATCTCTCGGAGGCCCCCGGCTTTGAGAGCCCTCCCCGGAGTGACGTGCAGCACCGCCGCGTCCAGCTGGCAGTCGGAAGGCTCCGGCGCCGGAAGCAGGGCATCCTGGCGCCGCCGCTGCCGCTGCTCCCGCCGTCGTGGTCCAGCACTGCCGTGCTGCCGAGGTACAGCGTGTCGCGGCGGCGGCCGCTGCGACACGCTGTGCCTTCGAAGCTGGTGGCGCGTGCCGCTCTGCTTCGTGGGGCGGGAGGCCGCTGCGAGCTTAGGGCTCTGACCTTTGGGGGCTGGGACACGGTTAGCGTGTCGCGCCGAAGCGTGGTGGCCCAGAACCGGCGGCTCGACATGCTAAGCAGCGTTCCTGACCATAAATCCACCACCGTGCCCTGAGGCACGAGTTGGAGCGCCCGTATGTCCCTGCGGGTTCTCTGTATCAAACCTTTCCAGACAAGAACGGGAAGCGCCGCTTTTTTGGTTGCGGAGCTCGTTGGGCGTATGTTGAAGACAGCGTGCAGGACGTTGAACACAGCGGAAAAGAGCAGGATGATCATGTGGGTGATGGTAAGGACAATGACGTGGAGTAGTAGACTTGAGAAGACGAGCGCGAGGGAGAGGGAATGATCAGAAAAAGGAACGTGTGCAGCATGAGGAGGACGAGGAGGATGACGATGAGGATCACGAAGACCTCGACGACGAGGATGACGATGATGACGACAACGACGGCGATGACGACGACGACGACGATGACGGCGACGACGACGGTGACGACGACGGTGAGGACGACGGCGACGACGATATGGGAGGCAATGCATATTCGGAACGGTCTGAGCGTGGAAGCCACAGGATCTCATCAAGCTCCAGAAGGGTCTGCGGGGTGGGGTGTGGGAGGGGCGGGGGGCCGGGGGCGTGATCCGGGGGGTCTGGAAGGTTCAGAAGGGGGAGAGACGGGTAGGGGAAGGGAAAGGGAAGGGGGGGGAAGTGGTGGGAGACGGGGGAGCGGGGCAGCAGGACGCAGTATATATTCACAAACTCCCGCTGAAACGCAGAGCGGCCGGCTAGTACACATCCAGTGTCGACGCGAAGATTTGTTTAATTTTGTTTCTTCTCCCTTCTTCGGGGGTCTGACGACTACGTATTAGGTTTCTCCCTTGGAAGCCCCAGGAACCCTCAAGAAGCCCCAGATGCGCCACATGAGGCCGGAAGAGGCCCACGAAGCGCTCCGCGAGGCACCCAGAGCTCTCCAGGAGGCACCTAGGTGGGTTTCATCAGAAAGTACCAAATTAGTAGGTATCCGGTGTGCATTCGTTTGTTTGTTCTGCTCTTGTGCGCCTTCGCTCGCAGCGCGCCTGGACCTGGACTCGCTGCGATCAGACCCTAGCCTTATCGGTGAGAGCGCAAAGGCGGCCGATGGGGCGCGCCAGCGCACGACGACGGAAACGGTGACGACAATGGAAACGGCGATGACGACGACGACGACGACTGCGGTACGAAAACGGTGACGACCTCCCTCGCTCGCTCCCAGACAAAAGCTGTGGTACACCGCCGTGCCGAAGGGGCAATTGAGGGGGCCGTTCGGAGCACTGCAGTCCCGGAGCCTCCGGGAGAGATTCAAAGATAATGCTGAGTTGGAGTCCCCTCCGAACCCGATTTGTTGAAGAGGTCTCGAGCGAAACGGCAATTGTTGGGGCCGTTCGGAACATTTTGGGAGCCTCTTGGAGGCTTGTGTGACCCTCTTGGACTGTCCGGGAGTGTCTGGAGGGTGTGTGGGGGCTCTCGTGGGCTGTCTTGGCGTTCTCTTGGACTGTTTTGGGGCTCTCTTGGCCAGTCCCGGGGCCTCTTTGCGCGCTCTCGCCTCTTGGGGGTCTCTTGGGGGTCTCTTGGGCCGTTTCGGGGGTCCCCTGGGGAGCCTTTTGGGGCTCTTTGGGGCCGTTTTGAAGCTCTCCGGGAGCGACTCCAAGACAATGCCAGTTCGGAGTCCCCTCCGGAGCCGATTTTTCGAGGATATCTCGAGCGAAACGGCCATTTTTCCGGAACCTTTCCGGACAAGAACGGGAAGCGCCGCTTCTCTGAGCTTGCGTGCGCACGCGCAGGGTTTTGCACACAACGTGAAATGTGTGCACATGGGGTTGGTCGTCGCTGGGCTTCCCTAAACGCCCAGATGGTTGCCATGAGTAGCTTGTGTTGAGTGGTTGCCTCTGGTTGGGTTGGTCAGGTGCTGCGCGTGGCCTGTATGCGTGTGTGCGTGCGTGTGCTTGTGTGTGCGTGTGCAGGTGCGTGTGCGGCTGTGTGCGTATGTGTGCCTGCGTGAGAGCGTGTATGCAGTATGTGTTCTGGGGGAGGCGGGACGGGGGGGGTGCGGTGTGCGTGCCAGGGTTTATTCTGCCGTGTTCCTGGTCTTTTCTGCCGTGCTCCTTCGCTCTTGGGGCCTATTCTGCCGTGCTTCTGGTGTTTTCCTGCCGTGCTCCTTAGCTATTTGGGTCTATTCTGCCGTGCTCCTGGTCTTTTTCTGCCGTGCTCCTTCGCTCATGGGGTCTATTTTTTGCCGTGCTCCGTAGCTCTTGGGGTCTTTTCTGCCGCGTTCCTGTTTTTTTTCTGCCGTGCTCCTTCGCTCTTGGAGCCTATTCTGCCGTGCTCCTGGTCTTTTTCTGCCGTGCTCCTTAGCTCTTGGGGTCTATTCTGCAGTGTTCCGGGTGATTTCTTGCCGTGCTCCTTCGCTCTTGGGGCCTATTCTGCCGTGCTCCTTAGCTCTTCGGGTCTATTCTGCCGTGCTCCTAGTCTTTTTCTGCCGTGCTCCGTCGCTCTTGGGGCGTAGTATTCTGCCGTGCTCCTCCGCTCTTGGAGCCTATTCTGCCGTGCTCCTGGTATTTTTCCTCCGTGCTCCTTAGTTCTTGGGGTCTATTCTGCCGTGTTCCTGGTCATTTTCTGCCGTGTTCCTTAGCACTTGGGGCCTATTCTGCCGTGCTCCTTAGCTCTTGGGGTCTATTCTGCCGTGCTTTCGTTTTTTTTCTGGTAGCTCTTGGGGTCTATTCTGCCGCGTTCCTGTTTTTTTTCTGCCGTGCTCCTTCGCTCTTGGGGCCTATTCTGCCGTGCTCCTAGTCTTTTTCTGCCGTGCTCCTTAGCTCTTGGGGTCTATTCTGCAATGTTCCGGGTTATTTCTTGCCGTGCTCCTTCGCTCTTGGGGCCTATTCTGCCGTGCTCCTTAGCTCTTCGGGTCTATTCTGCCGTGCTCCTAGTCTTTTTCTGCCGTGCTCCTTCGCTCTTGGGGCGTATTCTGCCGTGCTCCTTCGCTCTTGGAGCCTATTCTGCCGTGCTCCTGGTATTTTTTCTCCGTGCTCCTTAGTTCTTGGGGTCTATTCTGCCGTGTTCCTGGTCATTTTCTGCCGTGTTCCTTAGCACTTGGGGCCTATTCTGCCGTACTCCTTAGCTCTTGGGGTCTATTCTGCCGTGCTCCTGGTCTTTTTTTCTGCCGTGCTCCTTCGCTCTTGGGGCTTATTCTGCCGTGCTCCCCGTCTTTTGGAGATGATGATGACGACGAAAATGATGATAGTAGTGATGGCGAGGATGATGATGAATACGATAAAGGGTATCTTGGACCGTCTTGGAGCATTCTTGGACAGTCTTTGAGCCCTCTTGAGCTCTTCTCGGCCCGACTCGTTTCGCAAACTCCCTGGATATAACCGTTTTTCGAGGATGTCTCGAGCGAGAGCCCCATTTTGAACTGAAGACGTCTCGAAGCAGCTCGTCCACTATCCCATTTTTTCGAGGATGTCTCGAGCGAGAGCCTCATTTGTAAGATTTCGACGAATTCGCGAGATCACTGCAGATCTCACTTTTTCGAGGATGTCTCGAGCGGGAGCCTCACTTTTGACTCAACATGTCTTAGAACAAGTCCTTCAAGATCCTACATTTTCGAGGATGTCTCGAGCGAAACTGCCGTTTTGGGGGGAACCTTTCTTGACATGGACGGGAAGCGCGTGAAATCGAAGAGCTTGGCAAGAACGTGCACCAACATTAAAGTCACATGTCACGTAGGCGCTCTTCCCAAACGTTCACAGGGGGTACCAGGTGGAGTTCAGTACCCGCGAAAGTTCAGACGTGGCGCTCACTCCGAACGTCCACAAAGGGTACCAGATGGAGTTCACTACCCGCGCAAGTTCAGACGTGCCGCTCACCTACAACGTCCCCAAAGGGACCAGATAGAGTTCACTACCCGCGCAAGTTCAGACGTGGCGCTCACCCCGAACGTCCACAAAATGTACCAGATGGAGTTCACGACCCGCGCGAGTTCAGACGTGCCGCTCACCCCGCACGTCCACCAAAGGCACCAGGTGGAGTTCACTACCCGCGCGAGTTCAGAATTGGCGCTACACCCACGGCGAGATCATGATCAGCATCACCGTCGTCATCATCATCATCATCACCATCATCATCATCATCATCATCATCATCATCGTCATCATCACATCATCATCATCATCATCATCATCATCATCATCATCATCATCATCATCATCATCATCATCATCATCATCATCATCATCATCATCATCATCATCATCATCATCATCATCATCACCACCACCACCACCACCACCACCACCACCACCACCACCACCATCATCATCATCATCATCATCATCATCATCATCATCATCATCATCATCATCATCATCATCATCATCATCATCACCGTCATCAACCTCGTCGCTATCATCAGGGAGGGCTGAACTCGCGCGGGGAGTGAACTCCACCTGCTGTGGGCGAGTATTTTTTGAGGATGTCTCGAGCGAAACGCTTACTGTTGAACAAAAGTATTGAAAAACCAATGGTTTTTCAATGATTCTGCTATTGGGGCAATCCTGGAGATCCTTCGAGAGCGTCCCTTAAAGATGTCGTACACCATCTACTTCAACCTCTCATTTTTTGGAGGATGTCTCAGGCGAAATCGACATTTTCGAAAATCCGAAGGTTTCGCCAGCGATTTCAATATCTCAATTTTTCTGAGGACGTCTCAGGCGAAAGGCTCATTTGTCAAACAAGAGGTCTTAAAGCAGCTTTTCCAACATCCTATTGTTTCGAGGATGTCTCAGGATTCCCGCGGAGGATCAGGGCCAACACCAGCTAGAGTTCACTCCCCGCCTGAGTTCAGCGACGAGGAGGAGGAAGAGGAAATTTTGGGAGGATGTCTCGAGCGAAACGCTGTTTTTTCAACGAAAGTGTGTAAAAACATGTGTGTTTTCAATATTTTCGCTTCTTGGGCCATCTTGGGGGTCATCCGAGATCGCTCCGAAAAGATGCCTTGCAAGAGCTCTGTCGGCATCCCCATTTTTCGAGGATGTCTCAGGCGAAACGCCCATTTTCGAGGATCCGAAAATTAGGCGAGCGATTTCGAGATCCCGATTTTTGGAGGATGTCCCGAGCGAAACGCCCATGTTTAGCAAAAGACGTCTTAAGGTACGACCCCCAACATCTCCATTTTGTAAGGATGTCTCGGGCGAAATGGCCATTATGTGGAATCCGCGTAGTCTTGATCAGGGAGGTACCCCGAGCCCTTCCCCCCTTTGCACTCCCCCCAGTTGAAAAATATTTCCCTCCGGGTCTACAGCAACGTCCATCGCGCGACTCTTCGAGTCTAAGCGCACTTCCCGTCATCCGTCAGGTTCGAATGAAGGAGCAATCTCGAGCCATTCCCCCCTCTGCACTCCCCCCAGTTGATAATATTTCCCTCCGGGTCTACAGCAACGTCCATCGCGTGACTCTTCGAGTCTAAGCGCGCTTCCCGTCATCTGCCTGGGGCTGACCACGGAGCAATCTCGAGCCATCCCCCTCTGCACTCCCCCCAATTGATAATATTTCCCTCCGGGTCTACAGCAACGTCCATCGCGCGACTCTTCGAGTCTAAGCGCGCTTCATGTCATCCGCCAGGGTCGTCCGAAGGAGGTACCCCGAGCCCTTCCCCTCCTGGACCTCCCCAGTTGATAAATTTCCCTCCGGGCCAGGACCAACGTCCATCGCGCGACTCTTCGAGTCTAAGCGCGCTTCCCGTCATCCGCCTGGGGCTGACGGAGGAGCAACCCCGAGCCCTTCCCCCCTCTGCACTCCCCCCAGTTGAAAAATATTTCCCTCCGGGTCTACAGCAACGTCCATCGCGCGACTCTTCGAATCTAAGCGCGCTTCCCGTCATCCGCCAGCGAAGGTGCCCCGCCCGACCCCGAGCCCGTGGTCCCTCGCGTCTCTGTTCTTGATTGACTCGTAGGAAGCATGGCCTAAGAAACTCCCACCACCTTCTCGTTCCGAGAAGGCGCGTCCCGTCATCCGCCAGCGAGGTGCCGCATGGGATCCGTAGCCCTTAGTTAGAACAAATGAAGCCCCAGAACCAACGGTGCACGCCGGAGGCGCTTCCCGTCATCCGCCACCGTGCCTTCGGCACGTAGTGGAGTGCCCCAAGGCTCATGCAGCTCTGCGAGGTAGATGGCTTGCATGTGGTTCTTAAGAGGTTCTTAGGGCCAAGACGGGCCCGAGCGCCCCCCAAGACGACTCCCAAAGGGGGGCCAGAGGAGGGCCCCGAGCGGACATTTCGAGCAGGAGGCCATCCTGGAGGCGTCTTGGGACCCTCTTGGAGGCTATTTGGGGCTGTCTTGGCCGTCTTGGGGAGGCGATTTGGGCCAGGTGCTCTCTAGATTCCGACGCGCTTTCCGGGTGGCCAGCGGGTTGGGCCGACGCCCCGGTGGAAGCCTTAGAGAAAACAAGACAACAACCGCCAAAATTCAGCGAAGGATTGCAACAAAAAACAAAACAAAACAAACGATTGCAAAAAAAGAACAACGGATTGCAAAACAACCAAGGATTGCAAAAAAAACCCAAGACGGCCTAGGAAGCTCCAAGAGGTCCTGGAGGAAGGCCCGAAGAGGCCACACCCGGTGATCTCCAATAGGACTCTGAAGGAGTTTGGCATTTGTTTCAAACGGCCTTCCGACGGCCCAAGAGGCCTCTGAGATTGCCCCAAGATCGCCCAATAAGTCTCGAAGATGGCCCCAGGACGGCCCAAGAGGCTTCCAAGACGGCCCCCCAAGGGCCCCAAGGCGGCCCACGAGGCCTCCAAGACGCCCACGATGGCCTTCAAGATGACCCTGAAGCGCCCCAATGAGATCCCAAGACGGCCCAGAGAAGCTCCGAAGACTGCTTCCAACGGCGTCTAGACGGGCCAGGAACTAAAACTGCCAAAGAGGCTCCCAACAAGCCCCCCAAAGGCCCCCAAGAGGCCCAAAGGATGCCCCCAAGAGGCCCCAAGAATGAGACAAGAAGCTGAAAGAGGTCTCATCATCCTTCTCCTCATTCTCCTTGTTCCGCCCTCTCCTCATCCTCCTCTTCCTCCCCCACGTATTACTCGAAGGGCTTCCACAACGGCTGGGGGATCTAATATTCCAATAGCGTGGCCAAGCTTTGCCACAACGTTTGGCCACATAGGCGTGTCCTGGAATGCAGGAGGCGACGGCGATTCGCCGTACATCTCTAATCGTGCTCATTTCTAATTGTGCTCGTTTCTAATTGTTCCTGGCCCCCTAGTGGCCAGGAATAGGCCCAGGATAGAACAATTAGAAATGAAAAGGATCTTGGCCCCCCCCAAAATCAAAGAACCTTCGAATCATTAGAAATGAACAGCGTGTAGGCGTCTCCGAAGGTGTAAATCTTATTCAAAGGGCCCACAGCCCGGACTTCTGGGCGCTCCCTGGGCGCTCTTTTTTTCTGCTTCCCCGTGGCGCTCCCTCCCTCCGCCGCGCCGTGGAAAGCCGGGGGCGGCGCGGCGGCTGCGCTGCTGGTCGCCCGGCCAGCCTCAGTTGGTGCTCAGGGTCGCCGTGGGTATGGGGTCGGCGTCCATGTCCGGCTGGCAGGTCTTCCCTCGGTTATTGTTCGCGACCTGCCACGTCAGCACCATGGCGCCAGTGGGCGTCTTGAAGCACTTGTCATTCTTCATCGCCCACCGCATGGCGTCAAGAACGAATGGCGGATCTATGGCGGTGACAGCGTGATAAGTGTGCAACCTCTCGAGCCCAGGCTCCTTCTCGGTCCCGTTCGTCAGGCCAAACCGGGACCACTGGGGCTGCACGGGCGGGTAGCGCGCGAAGTCTGGTCCGACATAGTGGATCCGAGACGTCCCCGTCGGACACGAGGGAGTGTCCTCGTAGATGACAGCCGGGATGGGACCTGGTAGAACATAGTATCCTTTGTCCTTGCCTGGCATGCTGAGGGGCTCATCGTTAGTGCCCCTGTCCATGAAATACCTGATCGAGTTCACGTGGTTCATGCCAGCCCCGTCGAAACACTTCCCGTCCACGTCCTCGTTCCTGATTTTGACCACGGGCGCGCCTCCAGCAGTCTTGGAGCTTAGAAAACTGCCGATGTGGGCGGCACTCCTGCTCGCACGACACCTCCGCGGAATGGGAACACCGCATTCTGAATCGAGTGGCCTTCGTAGGAACAAGCCAGCGCCCGCGGCAAAATGATCCTCCCTGGGGTGCTCGTCCGCGGCGTGCGAAGCGAAGCTGCTCCAGTGCGCGCCGCGCGCGTGGCCGGCGCCCATCGCAGGCAGCAGGGGCAGCCGGCAGGGCCGCCGTGTGCGAGGGCAGGCTGCCGCGGCGCGCGTGGGCACGCACCGCCACGCGGCAGGCCGAGGGTCGTCGCGCCGCTTGAGGCAAAATGGCTACGTAAGGGCGCTTCGGGCGCTCTTGGGTGCTCCACGGGGTTCTCCGCATGACTTCTCCAGAAGCCAAGAGCGCGTGGTTCGGGACATGCACGTCCAACATTGCCTACGATGGCCCCGAGGACCATCCTGGAGCCCTCTTGGGCTCCTCCTGGGCCGTCTTGGAGGCCCTGGAGGGCGGCCCAAGAGGCCCTCCGCCACAAGATGGCCAGGAGAGGGCCCCGAGACGCCCCCGCCCCCCCCCCCCACACACACACCCAACACCGCCTCCAAGAGGCTTCCGAGATGTCTTCCCATAAATCCTCATAGGTACCCAAAGGGCCTCTGACCGACAACCCAGGCACGGTGGCGGGACGGGACGAAGGCCACTAGATCAGGAGCAACACCTGGCCTCCCGAAAAAACGCCAGGGTGCACGATGAGCGCCACAAGGGAAATGGGGTAGGAACCAAGGAACAGCGAGCCCCTTCCGAACACAATCTGTTCCTTACTTCAGCGTCTTGGCTGCAGTCGCCCTCGCCGTCGCTCGTCGCTCGTCGCCGTCGCCGTCGACGTCGTCGTCGTCGCTCGAGGATCGAGTCTTGGAGGTCAACGGCTCTTGTCGGGCCGTTGGAGGCCTTCTGAAGCATCTATGGGGACCTCGAGAAGCCTCCACGGAGCTTCAGAGCCATCTGAAGGCAGTCGTCAACGTCGTCGTCGTCGTCGTCGTCGTCGTCGTCGTCGTCGTCGTCGTCGTCGGCGGCGCCATCGATGGCGACGTCGTCGCTGTGCTCCTGCACCTCCTCCTTTCCCATTTCCTCCTGGCTTTCCTCCTCGTGCCTTTCCTCGTGCCTTTCCTCGTCCCTTCCTTCCTCTTTCTCCTCCTCTTCCTCCTTCAGGGGCAACGATGGGGGGGACTGGCATAGGGGGGGATGCATCGACCTGGAATCGGCGATACATCGCCGATAGATCGGCGATATAGTCTCCCGATCGTGAATCCGAACCTTCCTGGGCGGGGTGGGGCTATCGGGTCCCTATCGGCGATCAATTGGCGATTGGGGATCGATGCATCCCCCCCCATGCCTATCCCCCATATCGTTGCCCCTGACTCCTCCTCCTCCTCCTCCTCCTCCTCCTCCTCCTCCTTCCGCCCGTCGCCCCGGGGCCCTCGAGCCCGAGGAGGGCCCCGAGTCGAGCGGACCGCGTGCGCGCCGACGCAGCCGCCGCCGGTCTCCTCCTCGCCCTCTGCCTCCTCCTCCTCATCCTCCTCCTCCTTCTCTCCTCCTCCTCCTCCTCCTCCTCCTCCTCCTCCTCCTCCTCCTCCTCCTCCTCCTCCTCCTCCTCCCTCCTCCTCCTCCTCCTCCTCCTCCTCCTCCTCGTCCTCTTCTCCTGCTCCTTCTCCTCCTCCTCCTCCTCCTCTTTCTCCTCCTCCTCCCTGCCTCCTGCTCGCCGCCGCCTCGCGCCCCAGGTCGCGGCGCCGGCGACGCCGGCTCCTCCGTTGCTCCTCCTCGTGCTCTGCTTCCTCCTCCTCCTCCTCCTCCTCCTCCTCCTCTTTCTCCTCCTCCTCCTCCCTCTGCCTCCTCCTCCTCCTCCTCCTCCTCCTCCTCCTCCTCCTCCTCGGCGCTCCCCGCCCTGGTGCTGGCTTCAGCCTCCTCCTCCTCCTTTCTGCTACCCCTTTTCAGTCATTGCAGGAGGAAGAAGAGGAGGCAGCTCATTGCCCAGAAAGTGGGGGGGGAGCGGGGCGGTCACGAAAGGTGCGGACAAGGGCCTAGGGGAAACAATTGGGGGGGGAGCGATCGGACGAGAAGAGGAGGTGCCCTCTTTATACCCTGGGGTGGTGACGAGCACCCCAGGGGCCGCGGCACGGCCCCCCTCCTCCTCCTCCTCCTCCTCCTCCTCCTCCTCCTCCTCCTCCTCCTCCTCCTCCTCCTCCCTCCTCCTCCTCCTCCTCCTCCTCCTCCTCCCCTCCTCCCCCTCCCCCTCCTCCTCCTCCTCCTCCTCCTCCTCCTCCTCCTCCTCCTGGTCCTCCCCCCTTTTTCTCCTCCTCCTCCTCCTCCTCCTCCTCATGTTCTTCCCCGCTTGTCCTTCCTCCTCCTCCTCCTGCTGCTGCTGCTCCTCCTCCTCCTTCTCCTCCCCTCCTCCTCCCTTTCCTTCCTTCTCCTCCTCCTCCTCATCCTCCTCCTCCATTCTTTCCCAAGCGCAGCGAGCCCCAGGAGCCAAACACTGGAAGGCCCAACCGATGAGAACCGCTCCTCCACTCCATGGAGCTATAACTTCGAAACAGGTGGTAGAAAGACACCGGATCGGATGGACAGCAGCCGCACAGAACAGGGGGAGGGAAGCAGACGGCAGGGAGAAACAACAAAGAGATCCAGGGGAGCCGATGATCCATGCTTTCGTCGAGTCTCACGGGCGAATGCGTGTCATGCCCGCCCCTGGGCCATTCGCCCCTACCGTCCCCTCCAAACCTCGCGGCGCGGCTTGCGCGGGCTGCCGGCGCGGCATGCCACAGCGGAGCCGAGGGCGCTCGCGCGCGACCCTGCGCGGGGGCAGTTTGCGCGCACAGTGTCGGCGCAGACGGCTGTGTCTGCGCCGTCCCCGGGGGTCCTCGAGGGCGGGCCTGGCCCGAAAACACACCGCGCGGGGCGGCCCTCGCCCGCGGCCGCTCGGGAAAAGGGGGCCTCGGAGCACCCCGCCACTGGTGGCCGCGGAGGGGGGCCTTGCCGAGAAGTCCGCGCGGAGCTCCAAGGGCTCGTGCTCACAGGAGGAGCTCGACCACAGGAAACCTTCCACAAGAAGCCCAGCCCGGAGGCTCCAGGACGTCCATGGACTTCTGGTGTGGGAGCGTCACGCTGTCCATGGCAACACCATCGAGGCCGAGGCCCAGGAAACCCGGGGCACCCTGGAGGCAAGCAGGGTGCTTCTTGGCATGGGCTTCCACTGCACGCAGAACCCAACAGGGCCTCGCCTTCACCCTCGGCGCTGCCAGGCGTGCAACTGTCGCGAATTCAGGCGCCCCTGGAGGCCAGCCTGCAGCCCAGGGCAAACTGCACGTTGGCGGCGGGGCCCTGCCCGCGGCGTGAGGCACGGGCCCGCGCCCTCGCCCTTACAGCTGTCCTAGGAGGAGAAGATCCTCCTCCTCCTCCGCCTCCTCCTCCTCCTCCTCCGCCTCCTCCTCCGCCTCCTCCTCCTCCCTCTCCTTCCCCCTCTCCTCCTCCCTCTTCCCCCCCTTCCCCTCCCCAAGACCACCCCAGGACGAGCAGGGTGTTTTGGGGGGATCGAGGCCAGTTCCTGGCAGTGGGGGCCGTTCCCTGCAGAGAGGTGGCGAAGACTCCTCCTCCTCTCTCCGCCTCCTCCTCCTCCTCCTCCGCCTCCTCCTCCGCCTCCTCCTCCTCCCTCTCCTTCCCCCTCTCCTCCTCCCTCTTCCCCCCCTTCCCCTCCCCAAGACCACCCCAGGACGAGCAGGGTGTTTTGGGGGGATCGAGGCCAGTTCCTGGCAGTGGGGGCCGTTCCCTGCAGAGAGGTGGCGAAAACCTGCGCAACACTCCTTCCGTCCTCTCTGGCCAGTCGCCAATGCATACTGCCAGCAGGAGGAGCCGAAGAGGATAGGGATAGACCGATCGTAGAGGACAGAGGCTTCGAGGACCTGGCGAGAACGGACGCGCCAGGGCCCATCAGGACAGTGGTGAGGAGGAGGAGGAGGAGGAGGAGGAGGAGGAGGAGGAGGACGAGGAGGAGGAGGAGGAGGAGGAGGAGGAGGAGGAGGAGGAGGAGGAGGAAGAGAAGGAGAAGGAGAAGGAGAAGGAGAAGGAGGAGGAGAAGGAGGAGGAGGAGGAGGAGGAGGAGGAAAAACTGTTTCCTGCCGCTGCGCTGTGTGCGCTGTTGTTGCGCTGTTGTGGCGCTGTGGTGGTCTCGTGGCAACGCTACCCGCCCGCATGAGCAGGCCGAAAGAAGCCCTGGCAGAGCTTGGGTCAGCCCGAGCGCAATTTCAGAGAGTGGCCCGTGGTCGACTATCTTCGCGCTCTCGTCGCGCTTTGGGTGAAGGCCCTTGAGGACCCGCCAACGCGGAGGTGGCGGACGAGGAATAGAAGACGACGACGACGACGACGAGGACGAGGAGGACGAGGAGGACGACGACGACGACGACGACGACGACGATGGCGATGGCGACGACGATGGCGACGGCGACGACGGCGACGACGACGACCGCCTCCGGAAGCCTCCGTAGCACCCCGAAGGCTCCCAGAAGCCCTCATCGCAAGCTCCTGGAGGCCCCTCTCGGTGGGCCCGACACACGAGGGTCGAAGACGTCCAAGACCCCGACCAACGATCGACGCCGATCGGAGCAGGGCGAGTTGAGTCCCTGGGTCCCCAGAATTCCAAACGCATCAATTTCCCGAGCTGCTTCCAGCCGCGGCGACCATGGCCCCCCACCGAAGGCCAACTGCCATTATCTCAACTAGCCCTTGTCTAAGACGACGACGACGACAGGCGGCGACCGCTCGTCGTCCAGTTTTCGGGTCGTAGCTCGGGTCTCCAGCAGCCGATCGGCAAGATCCGGGCACGCCCTGGAGCGCCCTCGGCAAGGCGCAACGCTGGAGAGCACCCCGAGGCCAGGAAACCGACAGGAGCCACGAAAACGCCCGAAAACCTTGAACCTCGAAAACGTTGCTCCTGACGAGAAGCATGGCGGCGGCGACGAGGACGACGACCGGCAACGATCGATGATCGGCACGCCGAAGTTGTTATGGAAAGATGGGTACAATGCATAACAGCGCATGCTGTCCAAAATCGGCAGCGGCCGCTGTTGGGCAGGCGGCTTTGTCTCAAGGAGACAACGCCCGCGTCGACGCCGACAACGAGTCCTGCTCAAAATGGGCAGGACTTGCTGTCGGTCTTCGTCCCCATTCGTTCGGGAACCACGCCGATCGTACCGGCATCTGCTCGCCTCCCCCTAACTCGTAGGAGAGGCAATTCAGACAACTGCGGCTCTCCCGACTGGCCCAAATCCAATCATAATCCGTCCCCAGTCCCTTCTGGGGTCCATTCTGATCCGTTTTCGAGGCGGACCTGGCCCTGGCGACGAGAAGCCACCAGAAGGCCCATATCCCAGACTCCCGACGTCACTTTATCGTGAAGTCGACTCCCAGAGGTCTCGACCCATTTCTCAGGGCCGCTCTCATCCTGAACAATTTTTTGACGGGCCCGGGCCCGGTAAGGGCCCCCGGAGGCCGAACATATAGAAACATCATCCTATGTTGTTTTCATGACCCGAGGGAGTTCTAAGAACAACAACCGTGCTCCCATAACATAAAGCCGATGTGTTGAAACAAGTGTGCTCCAGCCAGGAATGTTCTAAGAACATGTCGTGCAAACTCCGAACGGTTCTTAGAACATGTTCTGGCCTTGCCACCGCTCGGACGCCCATTCCCGTGCATATTTCGGTTTCGTTGCTCTTCTCGACACAGGGCCCACGGTGCTCCTCGGTGGTCCCCGCTGCGGAAAACACGCGCACGTCCGAGCGATGCCGAGCCCACAGGCGAGCCAGGACGCCTCGCCACTGCTCGAGCTGAGAGGGGGCGGCCTCCGCGCTGCCAGGCGCCGCCCCGAGGGCCCCGAGCAGCGCCCGCCGCTCGGCGCCCAGCGCCGCCCGCTCCGCGCGCAGCCGCGCGCCCTCCGCGAGCGCCGGGCCGAACGCGGCGGCGCCGTCGGGTCCGCCGTGGAGCTCCTGGCGGATCCGCAGCAGCTCCTCCTGGAGGGGAGCGGGCTTGGCGTCCCCTGAGATCCAGGCGTTGCGATTCTTCCACAACGGGCGTTTTCGCTCCGCCTCGGGCCTGGGGACCCTCACAGATCGATCCGGCTCGGACAGTGACGCAGACAGATGGTGTCCAGGGCTCTGGCCGTGATTTTTTACGGTGCTCTATGTTTTCACTGCGTCGGATCTCAGGGTAACGAAAAAAGCTGTCCTGATATGCGACACGCGAAACGTAGCGTATTGATACGGAGTTTAACACGTAGGCAGGACACGCAGGTTTAACGCAATACGCTCGCCAAAGCGTGGGCCAATACGCAACGAATCGACACCGACACTCTAAGCGCGGCACTTGTTGCGTCTCAGAGCTGTACCGAGGCAACTCAGCGGATGGGGGGGACGAGGGCACCGAGACTGGGCGAGGAGGAGGAGGAGGAGCGGGGGGAGGAGGAGAAGGAGGGGGGGGAGGAGGGAGGAGGAGGAGGAGGATGAGGAGGAGGAGGTGAGGGAGAAGGAGGAGGAAGAAAGGAGGAGCTGAGGAGGAGCAGGAGAGGCAGGCGGCGGAGGAGGAGGAGGAGGAGGAGGAGGAAGGAGGAGGAGGAGGAGGAGGAGGAGGAGCAGGAGGAGGAGGAGGAGGAGGAGGAGGAGGAGAGAGGGGCGGGTTTCGCGTTGCGTGAAAAAAAAGCGGCGGGAGGTTCTTGGCCGTTCTCGGCCTCCAGGGGCCTCGCCCGGCCCAGGCTGCCGTCCACAGACTACTCGCGGGCGAGACGCCGGCCCTGGGGCGAGGGTCGGGGCTCCTCCTCCTCCTCCTCCTCCTCCTCCACAATTACTCAATCTGAATACTACTCACCCTCTTCCCCTGATGACGGTTTGAAAGCGTCCGACCCCCCCCGCGTACTGTTTTTTACACACAAAAAAACTCGTTCCTCCTCTTCGTTCCTCCTCGCTGCTTCCGCTCCGCTCTCCGAATCGTCCTCCCGCTGCAGCGCTGGCCTCATTTCCGCGCTTCCGCTCGTTGACTCGTGCTCCCGCTGCAGCGCTGGCGTCATTTCCCGTGCCATGCCACGGCATGCGATGCAATGCTAGGTTGATGCTACGCTTTGCGGTGCTCTTCTACGCCATGCCATGCCGTGCTCTACAATGCATCGCGTACCCTTTCGGGATCATTGCCCTCCTCGACATCCGACTGTGCGAGTAGAGAGGGGATCTGCGCCATGGTAAGGGATGGGAGGGAGGGGCAGGATGTCAGATATGACGCGAGCGCACCTAGCTTGTCCCACCCCCCTTCCCTCCCTCCCTCCCTCCCTTCTCCTCCTCCCTCCCTCCCTTCTCCTCCTCCCTCCCTCCCTTCCTTCCTTCTCCTTCGCCTCCTCGGTCCTCCTCCTCCTCCTCCTCCTCCTCCTCCTCCTCCTCCTCCTCCTCCGTCCTGCTTCCTTCTTCCTGATTTGTCGTCGTCGTCCTCCTCCTCCTCCTCCTCCTCCTCCTCCTCCTCCTCCTCCAGCCCCCGGGCGCTCCGCCGACTGTTGTTGCCCCTGAGACCCCTGGGCCCCATGAGACCCCCTCGGTCCCTGTAGGCGATCAGTCAGATAAGGAGGATGAGGAGGACGAATGGAGTCGATGCTCAGGTGGGTGGTCACGGAGGCGTTTATTGAAATATCCTTCTTGACACCTGCTTTGAGAGACTGACGACGTATGAGTTTCTCAAAATTCGGGTCACCGCCGCGGCCGAGTCTGGAGACGCTCCTGCATCGCCAATTTTCAGGCTGATGGAGGCATTCCTCAAACTACGTTTCTCAAGCGAGGTACTCCGAGCGCCGCGGTTCCTTTAAGGAGGGGGCGAGGCGGCTGGAATTTCGAGAGGCGCCTCCGCGGTCAGCTTGCAGGCGACGGAGTTTTTTTTTTTTTTTTTTTTTTTTTTGCGCGGGGCAGTTCGAGAAGCGCCTGCGTGGTCAGTCTGCCGGCGACGGAGGAGCTGCTCCGAATGGCGCCCGCCCGCCCGATCCCGCGCGGGGCATTTCGAGAGGCGCCTACGTGGTCAGTTTGCAAGCTGCGGGGGCGGTCCTCGGAATTGCGCCCGCCCGCCCACTCCCGCGCGGGGGATTTCGAGAAGCGCCGCCGTCGTCAAACTGCAGGCGACGGACGAGTTTCGCAACATTGTGCACGTTTTTCCCCGCGCGGGGCATTTCGAGAAACGCCTTCGTCGTCAGTTTGCAGGAGACAGAGGAGTATCTCAAACTTGCGCCAATTTTCTCGCGCACGGCATTTCGAGAGGCGCCTCCAGCGTCAGTTTGCAGGCGACGGGGAGGGGAGGGGGCGTGTCGCCATTGCGCCCCTTTCCCCGCGCGGGGCATTTCGAGGAATGTCGTCGTCTTAAGTTTGCAGGCGACGGAAGAGTTTCTCGAAACTGGGCGCTGGTGGCACCAGAGGCGTTCCCTCGCAATTGCGAGGAGATGCCTCCAGCGCCACCAGGCCGATGCACCCCCTCAGTGATCCTTTCCCTCCCCTGGATGCTGACCCCGAGGCATCTCCCTCTTGCGCGCGTCACCCGACTCCTCCCTCGTCACTGCGCTCCTCCCTTGGCCCCCCTTCGTCACTGCGCAACTCCCTCTGTCCTCCCTCGTCATTGCGCTCCTCCTCCTCCTCCTCCTCCTCCTCCTCCTCCTCCTCCTCCTCCTCCTCCTCCCCCGACTGCGCTCTTCCCTCGGCCCACCCTCGTCACTGCGCTCCTCCTCCGCTCCTCCCCCCCCCTCCCTAGTTGCGAGCCTATACCCCCCCAGCCCAACGCTGCCCGTTGAGACCCCCCCCCTCTTGCAAGCGCCCCTGGGTCCTCCTCTTCTTAGTCCTCGATCCTCGATACTCCTCGATCGTGCTCCCTCCTCCTCGACCCTCTCCACCTCCTCCTTCTTCTTCTCCTCCTTCTCCTCCTCCTCCTCCTCCTCCTCCTCCGTCCTCCTCCTCCTCCCCATCCCCCTCCATCCCACTCTCCTCCTCCTCCTCATCCTCCCTTCCTCCTCTCCGCCTTCTCCTCCTCCTCCTCCTCCTCCTCCTATTGCTCCTACTCTTCGATCCTCCGAAGAACCTTTTGTCCTCGATCCCTCGATCCTCCTCCTCCTCCTGGACCTCCTCACTCATCCCTGATCACCTCGATCGCCTAAACCCTTCGATACATCAATCCTCGTCGGGTTCGTCCTCCTCCTCCTCCTCCTCCTCCTCCTCCTCCTCCTGGATCCTCCTCGATCCTCCATACACCTTCGATCCTCGATGATCGATCCTCCATACGCCTCATCCTTCTCCTCCTCCTCCTCCTTCTCCCTCCTCCTCCTCCTCCTCTCTTCCTCGGTCCTTTTCCTCCTCCTCCCTGTTCCTCGATTCTCCTCCTCCTCCTCCTCCCTCCTCCTCCTCCTCCTCCTCCTCCTCCTCCTCTTGGGTCCTCGATCCACCTCCTCCTCCTCCTCTCCTCCGTGTAACTCCGCCTCCTCCTCCTCCTCCTCCTCCTCCTCCTCCTCCTCCCTTCCCTCCCCGCCACATCCTCGATCCTCGTCCTCCTCCTCTCCTCGTCCTCATCCTCCTCCTACTCGATCCTCCTCCTTCTCCTCCTCATCCTCCTCCTCCTCCTCCTCCTCGATCCTCCTCCTTCTCCTGGTCCTCCTCCTCCTCCTCCTCCTCCTCCTTCTCCTTCTCCTCCTCCTCGTCCTCGATTCTCCTCGTCCTCCACGTCCTTCTCGACCCTCCCTCTGGCGCGTGCTGCGCCGGTCCTGCTCTGCGAGCAGGGCCCGCCCCTCGCCCAGGGCCGCGCGGAGCTCCCTCGCGGTGCCCGCCGCAGCGGCGTCCTCGGGCTGCAGCTCCGACGCGAGCCTCGATCGATCAAGGGTCGAGGAGGATCAATGGTCGAGGAGCGAGGAGGAGGATGAGGAGGAGGAGGAGGAGGAGGAGGGTGAGGAGGAGGAGGAGGAGGAGGAGGA